TAGAGTTTATGATTGATCCATGGTCCAATGCTGGGATTACAGATGTGAGTGCTGTACCCACCCAGGGGCAGGTAGTTTGCATACAATATAAGGGAGGGAAAGAGGCTTGCTCTCCCTGCTGCTCCTTCCTTTTTGTTCTTGCTGCTTTTGCTATTTTCCACTGGCATGAACTGTTGCCCTCTGCCATGTGCCACTCTGTCTTGGAGCAAGCTGAGTATGGACTGAAACCTCTACCAACTGTGAGTTAAATAAACCTTTCCTTCCTTAATTCTGGGCTTCAGGTATTTTGTGTCAGCAACAAGAGAAAAGTAACCAAGACACAGTCTGAAAAAGTATGTTACCCAGAGGCAGCTCTGGATAAAAAGAAAATGTCCGGGTACATGTGTGTATATGTTCCTGAGCCCATCTGGCCAATACTTTACCCCAGGACCTAAGCTTGTCATATTAATTGTGCAGCACAGCAGACAAAACCAACCTCATAATGCACCCTGATTAAAGTACAAGAACTGAAGCCTGGTGTGGTGGCACACGCCTGTAATCCCAGCACTCAGGAGGCTGAGGCAGGAAGATCACTGCGAGTTTGAGACCAGCCTGGGCTACAAAGTGAGCTCAAGGCCAGCCTGAACTGCATAGGGAGACCCTGTCTCAAAAAGACAAAATAAATAAATAAGTAAAAGTAAAGTACAAGACCTGGCAAAGGCCAAAGGCAGTGGCTTCTAGCTACTTCTGGTCAGTGGTGAAGGCAAAGCAAAAGCCTGGCAGGCCTCACCTGCATGATGCTATTGAGCCGAGGCTGAAGGCTACTCAGGTACTCCTTCTTCACCTCAATCTCTTTGAGGATCTTCTCCTTGTTGGATAGGCACTCTCGGTACTTCTCTGCCAGTCTGAGGGAGAGGACAGAGCACTGTCATGCCATGCTTGCAAGGACACCTCAGCATACCTGTACACAGACTCCACCTATAATGGTAGCTGATTAACTGCTAATGTCTGCCAGCACTCACTACACGTGAGGCCCTCTGGGGAGGTTACAGGCACTATCACTTTAATAGTTGTAAAAACACTAGATCTTATCCCCAAAGAAGGAAACTAAAGCCTGCCCCTCCCCCTTTCCTTCTTCCCTCCCTCATCCCTTTCTTCCTTTTGCTAGAGAATGAACCTACAGTTTTACACATGGTAAGCAGCACACTGAAATTTTAAAGGAAAAAAAAATTACTCCAACTTTGTTAATAGCGTTAAGCAATTACAACCCCACCCAGGATGAGGCTGGTAATGTTCAAACTATTCATTGTGAATTAATCATAAAGTGGGATTTTGTCTTCAGACTCTTCTGCTGGTTCCATAGTACTTTGCTATTTGGTCCCAGCTCATCACAGAACACCACTGCTCTGCGGTTAACAAGTTCGGGAAGAGGGCTGGGGATTTAGCTCAGCGGCAAAAGCGCCTGCCTGGCAAGTGCAAGGTCGTGAGTTCGGTTCCCGGTACCGGAGAAAAACCAAAAAAAAAAAAAAAAAAAAAAAACCAAACAAGTTCGGGAAGGAAGAATACCTTTTCCGCTGCTCCAGCTCCCAGTCCAGACGTGCCAGGGTCTGCTGATGAGGGTCTCCCATTGTGACTTCAGCCTTGCTGATGTCTGGTGGAGCCTCCTTGTAAAACTCCTCTAAACTGACCAGGTCAATTTCTTCATGCTTTGACCTACAGGCAATAACTAGATATCAAGCTGTCACTCGCAGGAACCTTTAGGTGGGTATGAAGTTCTCCCACCTAGGCCCACTCAGCCCTCGCCCATAACTATTCAAGATCCTGGAATCTAATCTCCTCAGATGCTCACTAGCAGATGTTTCAGTGTGATGAGAGGTCACCGGTGACGTGACAACAGATTCTCATCCATTCTGTCTAATCTTTTTATCCATGAATTAACAAAAGACCTAAAATCCACATCCAAATATTGATTTGTATCATATATACAAATGTCTCCCAGCTAAGGAGAGCTAATAACCTAAAGACTCACATAAAATTATGGTGGCCTAGGTCTGGATTGTGAGGCTGCATCCCAGACATGTCATTTAACAAGAATAAACCTCAGTTCAAAACATTAACTGCAGAAGCACAAGAATGAGGGAAGAGATCTAGCTTGGTAGACCTAGATGTGAAAAAAAATCCAGAGGCTTTAATTGTTACATGTATAGTGAGACACACATAGAAGAAATGTAACACTCTTTCTTGTGTTAACATAGCTGAGTGTTCAAGTCATAGTCAGGAGCTACTATGTACTAATAAGCATCTACTCTATGCTGCCTTACTTCAATTAGTTTTTTTTTTTTTTTGAGACAAGGTCTCCCTGTGCAGTTGAGGCTGGCCTTAAACTGACTATGTAGCCCAGGCTGGCCTCGAACTCACAGTGATCCTCCTGCTTCCTGAGTGCTGGGATTATAGGCATGTGCCACCATGCCCGGCCAACTTCATTGAATTCTTATTAACAATTCTAGGAGGTAGGGATTTTTATCTCCATTTTTCAAATGAGAAGGTAGCTTCCACTGATAAGCAACTTGCTACGGTCACATAGCTTAAGTGGCAGAAGTGGGATGTGAACCTAAGCTGTGTGATTCCAATGCCCATGGTTCTTCCACCCACAAACCCACAGTATCCTGGGTTTGTCAGTTTCCACCTAAGGGGCATGGCACTCTTTATGCCTTTTTAATTTTACTATCACCAAAGTCTCATAAGAACTTTCAAAAATAGTACTAAGTTGGAGAGAGGGAGAGACTGATTAACAGGTATAATATTACTGACAGGAAGAATACAGAATACAAAGAATTCCTTCTTTGACAGGAAGTATATGTTCTGGCATTCTACGGCACAGTGGAGTGAATACAATTAAAGATAATGCATTGTATATCTCAAAAAAGTTAGAAAAGAGGAATTTTAATGGACTTACCATAGAGAAATGATGAAAGTTTAAGGTGATGGATATGCTAATTACCCCCTTGATTACTACCCAGTATATACATGAATTAAAATATCACACTGTATCTCATAAACATGTACAAATATTACGTAAGATTAATAAATTTTTTAAAAATAGTACTGAGAGTTTCTATCCTCCATGTACTCCTTCCTCAGGTTCCCCAATGATAACATCTAAACGTAGTATGTTGTTAAAACCAAGAAACTGACAATACAGTAGTTCAGTACTATTAATTCAGGTAGAAACATAATGTAAGTTTCACCCCTACTAGTATTTAAATATTTACATGTGACAAATTTGTGGAGCAGATAAAGATGCTGCTCAAAAATCAGCAACATAATTACTAAAAATATCCTGGACCTGCTGTCTAACATAGCCCTGTTCAGCCAAGTTTGTTACAAACAAAGCCTCTCTTCTTTCACTTTACAAATGGTCTGACCAAGCAAGAACTCTTGCTCTTCTCTTCGGTTTACTCTTTCCATCTCTCGTCTCTAGGATTGGTTTTTTCAAGAAGCCTCTCCTTTTAAGAATACTAATGAAGGGGCTGGGGATTTAGCTCAGCGGCAAAAGCGCTTGCCTGGCAAGCGCAAGGTCGTGAGTTCGGTTCCTGGTACCGGAGAAAAACAAAAACAAAAAAACAACAACAAAAAAAAAGAATACTAATGAACTACAGTTCGTTCACCTGAAGGCAGCTAAGGAGCAAGAAGTTCTAGTTCCAAAGACTAAGATCCATTTGTAAAAATGATCTACAGTACTAGAGTTTTACAGAGGAAAACTAAACCAAAAGGTTGAAAGGATGTGACTGGAACTGAGCCGCTGCTATACAATACGCCCAGGAATCAAATTGGTAATGGAAAGGCTGCTGCTGGGGACAGAAAACCACTTCTTAACCAAATTCAGAGCTCAAAACTCAAAACAGTCAGAGAGGCCTCTGGTTCTCTGTGCAGCCAAAAACTACGGCTTGAGATTTTTCTCGCTCAAAGTGATCTATTCACCGTTCTCTCAGATCCTGCAGTCCTCCAAGCTCACTAGATTTCTTTTTAGAGAATGACTCACACTGAGATATGTAGGAAAAGGCAACTGCCACAAACCAGTGTGCCAAAGCCCTGTCCTCCGAAACTCACTTAAACTCCAGACATTTGGTGATCTCCTTCTGCAGGTGCATCACCTCATACAGCAAGTTCTGTAGCTGCAGATGATAGGCATCTACTTTTTGCTTGGCCTGAAAGGAAGACAAGGTCAAGTGAGCAGGGTCAAGTCACAGATGGACAGAGCATCAGTAAAATCAGGGCATGGGCGAAGAGGACACAGGGGTTAATTAAACCTCTCAACTCAGACCTCATGGGTCTGATCTCTTCCTTTCTTCAACCTGATGTGGGCTAATCGGTTAAGTTTCTTTAGAGTCATGAAATGCACACAGCTCTGGATCCTCCGTTCTTCAATTTCAATTGCCTGCAGGCAGAGAACATGGTAAAGGTGATTCACAACAGGTGCTGGCTCAGCTTCCTTCAGTCCCTTGCTGCTGACCCACCTTCTCCAGGACCAAAAACAGACATTCAAAGAAGCTCTGAGCCATGGGGAAAGTCAGGAGAGAAACAGAAGGGTGGATGGATGCATAAAGGAAATGCTTAAGGCAAAAAAAACAATTCTGCTTGGGCTGGAGTGATAGAAATAGAAAATGCAGCAAGTACAGACAACACACGATTAATATCTGTCCCTACATATCCTGCACGGAGACCCTCACAATGGCAACATCAAGCCATCAAATCTGGCCTCTATAAGTTGCATTACAAACTGGGTCTGGTAGTGCCTCAGCACTCAGGAGGCTGTGAGAGGATAGCCTGGGCTACACAGTCAGTTCACGGCCAGCCTGAATGAACTACACAGGGAGTCCCTGTCTCAAACAAACGAACACAAACAAAATACCCCAAACAGATACATAGCATTATGAAATAATTTAAATGACAAAAAATTACAAAATTTGGCTATAATAAAAGATACACTGTAATAATCAATGATATTGACTAGCATAAGCACAAAAAAGATTACTGGCAAAAATACAGAATTAATAAAAAACTTCATCCATCTAGCTTTTATTTATTTATTTATTTATTCATTCATTTATATTTTGGGTCTTTTTGAGACAGAATCTCACTATGCAGTTCAGGCTGGCTTTGAACTCACTTTGTAACCCAGGCTGGCCTTGAACTCACAGTGATCCTCCTGCTTCAACCTCCCTGAGTGCTGGGATTATAGCCGTGTGCCAACACACCCGACTTCCATCTAGTTTTTAGATACAGCCCACTGCTTCATTTTTCTGTCCCTAAAGCCTGCCTCATCCATTTAACATGAATGACAATTTCATCTTTGGTCTTCATGACTGCTGTAGTCACGGTTTGGAGGAGAAACAATTTAGTATAGGACACCTAATTTATAGGATTATTTTATAATACTCATCCGAAGAGTCAAATACAAAAGAGTGCAGTATACACACTAGATACCCAAAGAATCCAGCTGAGGGCAATGTCCTGCACCAGTCCAGCTGAAGACCTAGAGCCCATCTTTAACAACAGCAAGGACCTAAGCTCCTCCGATGATAACAGCAGAATTCATATCAGGAAAGCCAGCTTGGGGTCTGGGGATTTAGCTCAGCGGCAAAAGCACCTGCCTGGCAAGCACAAGGTTGTGAGTTCGGTTCCCGGTACCGGAGAAAAACCCAAACCCCCCCCCCCAAAAAAAGAGGAAAGCCAGCTAGACAAGCTTCTCTAGGAAAATCAACAGCACACCATCTTCCCTTCCAGTTCTCTTTTTATGCTGTTGGCAACAATCCTCAGGTAGGCCTTCCACACCCAGCACCACGCTGATTCAGTTCAGCTGGGTGTTACAAGCTGACCATTACTTAAACCACCACAATGACTTACTTCCACATACCCACATTTCTAACACCAAGAGAATTTACATTATTCCTCAGCACCTGGAGAAATGCCTGGCACTTAATGGTAACTCAAAGAATGATCAAATTACAGTTACAGAAAAAGTGAATAACCTGTACTTTCACTACTATAATGGGTGATGGGCTGGTGACAAGTTCTAATCAATTAATAGGCAGGACTCCAGGCTCCAAACACCTGATCATGGCAGGGACAGACAACCAAGATTAGGAAGGGGCCTGGCGGGTACAAATGGAGCCCTGCCTGTGCAGAGTCCCCAGGTCCAGAGCTGTCCGGCCTCACTCCTTACCACATCCTTGCCACCTCTGCTCTTCAGGTCCTGGATCTCGGCCATTAGCCTCTGTAGCTCCTGGCATGTGTATTTGTACAGTTCATAGTCTCTGCCAGGGTCTCGCAGGTCCACCTCAGCCTCCTCGCTGTAGTATTTACCTTCCTGTGGAGCCAAGGCAAGAGGTCCTGGGTTAGGGTTGAAGATCCCCTTTGGGGCTAGTAACTCTTGGATGAGACTTCTCATTATATAAGGACAAATCAAGTGGCTAAAGGAACTGATCCTCAAATCAAGTGTTTTGCTTATTTCCAAATTAGAAACCTCTTCTTCTCTTTCTGATTACAAAAATAACGCATGGTTGATGTGAAAGATTTAGAACACAGAAATAGCAAAATGAAAAACTGCCTGTAATTCCACAACTCTGTTGTGAATACTGTGGATGAATATGCATTTTATTTTTAAACTACATGGGATTACATTATCTATGCTGTTCAGTACAACTTCTCACCCAAATAAATACAGATTTCCATCAAAATGGCTACACGACAGCACACAGTAGGTAAGCCAGAACTTAGGGGAAGCCACCCACCTATGTGGGTGTTTAGATGGTTAACTCTAGCTTTAGCAGAAATTAAAGTATCTTAACTGGCCTTTCAGTCTTCGCAGTAAAGAAAACACAGGACTTAAGAGTGCCATAACCAATGCTCAAAATGGGTAAGGCTCTTCATTAATCTTTATTTCCTCAATATAAGGTAGTTTTTTTTTTTTTTCATTTTTTTTTCTTCCCTCTTTATGTAATAGTTCTTATATGTATCAAAACTGATAATGATGAGTTCTGGGTTGCAAGGCAAGTTTTACATTTTGTACTTGCTTATACATTATCCTTTGTCCACAAGTTAAAAATTCAAGTGCTAAGAGCATTGTTTTTGCACTGTGTTTTGTTTTTAATGCTGGGCTTGAGCCCATGGCCTCTCACATGCTAACCCTGCACTCAACCACTACAATGTCCCTAGCCCATTATTCTTTAATTCAAATTGAAGCTGGTATGTTTCCGTATTCTACCTTTAAGAAACCAAACAAGGGGGGTGTGATGATGCATACCAATAATCCCAGCTACTCAGGAAGCTGAGGCAGGAGGGTCACAAGTTGAAGGCCAGACTGGGCAGCTTAGACCCTGTTTTAAAATAAAAAATAAAAGGCTAGGGATGTGGTTCAGCAGTAGAGTGCTTGCCTAACATGCACAGTGCCCTGGATTCAATCCCCAGGATTGCAGAAATAAGTATAAACTGAGCATGATGGCATGTGCCTGTAATCCCAGTACTTGGAAGGCCGAGGCAGGAGGATCACTATGACTTCAAGGCCAGCCTAGGCTACATAGCGGGTTCAAGGCCAGTCTGAAGTACATAATGAGACCCTATCTCAAACAAAGTATAAATAAGTAAATAGTAGGTAGGGCTGGGGATGCAGCACCCCCCTGGGTTCAATCTCCAGAACCAGAAAATAAACAAATAAAAAGTACAAAAATACAAGTAGCCAAACAATCAAAACAGCTAAGTTATGAATTAGCTTGACATATTCAACTGGGAAAAAAACAAAAGGAATAGAAGAATTTGCTGACCATGACAGCTCTCAGGCCATAGTGAAGTTACATGGGCACATAGTTTGGTATCCTCTGTTATGGTTTGTGTCTAGATGTCTCCCCAAAGCCTCAGGCAGTCAGTTTTCTTCAGAGGTGGCTGAATCTAGTGTGACTGATTTGTAGCACAATTCTGTGATTAAGGGTGCTGGGATTAAAGTGGGTGATTGCCAGATCAGTCCCCTGATTGGATTGGGACTGCCCTAACTCCCATATCCTGGATACAATATAAAAGAGACAGAAAGTGGCTATTAAGTCAGTCTCTTTCTTCCTCTCTCTCCCACCCCCCATGTTTTTGCTGTCATCCATCACCATGAACTGTTGCCCCTCTGCCATGTCCCACCCGGTCCTGGAGCCGGCCAATTATGGACTGAATCCTTTACAAACTGTAAGCTAAATAAACCCTTTCCCCTTTAACTTTGGGTGTTGGGTATTTTGTCTCAGCAACAAGAAAAGTCACCCTCCCAGCAGCAGCCCCCAATACACAAAATCTCTGATGCTCCAACGCTGTACTTCAGACACAACCTCTGCCTTCTGCCCATTAGGAAAAATGGAGACACAGTACACTGAACACACTCTGTATGCAGGTCCTAATCATGTATAATACAGGCTTGTTGGTTCTTGAGATACTGCAGGTAAGCCTGATGTAGATAGTTATGTTGCGTGGAATCACAGGAATTGTAGTCAGCCGGTCACATGGAAGTTCCTGGGAGATTGCCTGTTAGATGCAACCCTGAGCAGCTACAAACCCACTGGCAGGTGTATGGTCATGAGCTACAATCTCCGGGCAGCATGGCAATCATGGCTGACTCACCTGCTCAGTGTCAGATCGATTCCGCTTGCCTTCAGCTGGAGCTCCATCACTGCGGATAACTTTGGGCTTCCGTTTTTTGCTTGATTCTGATGACATGATGGTTCCTGAAGGTGGGGAAGAAACAACAGAAAGTTGTTAAGAGGAGAGGCTTTAGAGATTTTCTGGGAGAACTCGGGATTTATTTTTCTATTTTTTAAAAATTTGGAACACTGAAATCTAAGTAGAAGTTGTGGCCTCTTACAGAGGTGGTAACTCAAGAATAGTTGCGTGGCCCTAAATGCCCTAGTTTAAGCCTCTTAAAATTGGGAATCATCCTCTATTCTGTCCAAAATAAACCTGTCTGCACCATCTCTTTTTTCTCTCCAGTGCTAGGTAATGAACCCAGGGCTTTGCAAATGCTAGACAAGTTCTCTACCTTTAGGCTATGTCACCGGCACTTTACTTTTTCTTTTCTTTTCTTTTCTTTCTTTCTTTTGTCTTTTTTGAGACAGGGTCTTGCTATGCAGTTCAGGCTGGCCTTGAGCTCACTTTGTAGCCCAGGCTGGTCTCGACCCTGCAATGATCCTCCTGCCTCAGTCTCCCAAGTGCTGGGATTACAGGCACATGCCACCACGCCCAGCTCTACCTCTTTTTAAAAATAGGCTTCACCAAGCACCCACTGAACTCAGAATCACTTTCAACCTCTCCCTTGCTGGCCCAAATCACATTCTGCTCACACTCTCCACAGATGCATCCTGTATCCAATATTCACCTAGCAATCACCGGTGCCATGTTCTTCCAACTGAAGACCCTAGGCCAGGTCTCCACATTCCTCTCCAGGACTACACAGTCCTACCTCACAGCAACACTGTCTAAATTCTCTTTTGTAAAAGAAGACCCACCTAATTAATGCCATTCCTGTTTTTAAATCTTTACCACTTTTCACAACGTACTAAACGAAGAGCAAATTCCCTGGTCACCTCCCTGTTGCCACCTCTCCTGATCATCACCACAGCATCCTGAACTGGGCAGCACTGTGCCCCTTACCTAATTCATCCATCACTAGCGCTAACTGAGAGACAATAGTGGGTAGTGGTGGGGTCAGAATCTCCAGTCTACTGATTAATGGCTCTGAGTTCTGGGACAAGTCACTTCACTTTTCTCTGAATCTACTTTCCTCACAAACCAAGTGAGTCTCTACTTCAGGGGTTGTCAGCAGAGTGAACACAGGTGACACTCCACTGGATAAGGTGATGGACATGATCTGGGATGAGGCTTTAGATGGTGCACGGTGGCGACCTTACATAATGCTGGACGCCTGAGGAGAAAGTCAATCCTTTTTTGATTCTTTCCTGAAACTTCTGATTATCTCAATAACATCTCAGTTCCCCAGTTTGCCTTTAACATCTAAGAACGCCAAGGTTCCTCTGTAATGAAAGAACTCGGCTTCACAGATTTAAACAATGAAACCTACATTTGTTAACAATGATTTGTTTTCATTGTATCAAGTATATTAATTTTTAATCACTATCCTCCACAGAAGTGAAAGCAGTTTTTCATGAATGGCAGAGAGACTTGAAGTTTTTCTTTTAGACTTTCTCTCAGGGGCTGGGGATTTAGCTCAGCGGCAAAAGCGCCTGCCTGGGAAGCGCAAGGTCTTGAGTTCGGTTCCCGGTACCGGAGAAAAACAAAAACAAAAACAAAAAAAAAAAACTCTCTCTCAAAGAAAACTTTAGTTTAAATAATGTATGCTGAGCCAGGAGTGGTGGTGCACCCCTGTTAATCCCAGCACTCAGAAGGCTGAAACAGGAGGGCTGCTGTGAGTCGGAGGCCAGCCTGGGCTACATAAGCAAGTTCTACACAGCCAGACCCTGTCTCAAAAAAAAAAAAAAAATCATAAATAAAGTGAGCTAGGAGTAAACGACTGGTTTAAAGCCCTTAGTAGGGTTTCTGAGAAGTACTGGAAAGTTAGTAGTAAACTGATTAAGCAAAATCCACAGCGGTGGAACTCGAAAGCCTTAAGCGTGAGAAATCCCAACTTTGCTAACATAGGGTGCCTACAAAAAACGTAAAATGCACTGTGTGTAGTGACACACGCCAGTAATTGCTTCTATTAAGGAGGCTGAGGCAGGAGGACCACAAATTCCAAGCCAGCCTAGCTAAGTTTGCAAGACTCCGTCTCAAAATAAAAACCAAAAAGGCGTGCAGATACAGCTCAGCGGTAAAGGGCTCCTGGACTAGAACCTCAGTACCGACACACACACACACACACACACACACACACACACACACACACACACACGAGACCTGGACTCGAGCCTCAGTATATACATACACACACACACACACACACACACACACACACACACGAGACCTGGACTCGAGCCTCAGTACACACACACACACACACACACACACACACGAGACCTCACACCCATGAGACCAGGACTCGAGACTCAGTACACACACACACACACACACACACACACGAGACCTGTTACCACTATCATCAGAAGGCTGCAAAGTGAGAGCACAAGACGTGTAACGAATATTTTCCTGACCAGAAAACAGCGCAGCACCCCACCGCCCTCAGTCCTCCTCACCTCGCCTCACCGTTCGGCGAACTAATCCTACCCAGGGAACTACTTCCGGCAGCGGAGAGACCGTGACGCACGTACCACAGAGACACAGAAGGAAGGAGCGGCCGGCCGGAAATGAGGCTCGGAGGCCTGGAGGGAGGCGGGAGCTTTTTGTCCCGCGAGAACTGCAGGGCAATGTGGGAAACAAGCTGCGCGTTCCATGTGGGTAACGTTTTCATGGCTGCCCTAAAAACGGGCTTTGAGGACAAGCACTCACTTTTACCAGCGCGTTTGGCTGAGCCCAGCAGTTAGTGGACACTTTGCTGATTTGCTGAATAAGTGAGTTTGTGGTATGTTTAAGATGGTAACGCTGGGCGTGGTGGCGCACGCCTGTAATCCCAGCACTCGGGAGGCTGAGACAAGAGGATTGTTTCGAGTTGGAGACCAGCCTGGGCTACAAAGTGAGCTCAAGGTCAGCCTGAACTGCATAGTGAGACCCTGTCTCAAAAAGACAAGGAAAAAAAAAAAAAAGATGGTAGCTACTCGGGAAGCTGAGGCAGGATTGAGTATTGGAGAGTGAACCTAGGGTCTTCACACTGAGCTACATCCTCAGGCATTTATTTTTACTTTGAGACAAGTTCTAAGTGCTAAGTTGCCCAGGCTGGGCTGGAACTTGCAGTCCTTGTGCCTCAGCCTCCCAGAGTGCTGGGATTATAGGCATGTGCTACCATGCCCAGCTTTAAATGCAGCATTAGAAAGCCTCAGCGTTTCGTACTACTGGTATGAACTGTAAGACAGAGCCAAGGATTTTTGGTGTAAAATCCCACTTATCTGGAGCTAGAAATACTCCTATCCTGAATCCCTGTTTATGAAGATAGGTCCTTATGCTCTGGAGTGACAATGAAAATTCCTTTCCTGAGAATAGCCCAGAAACACAATGCCTTCCAGCAGGGCAGATCAACCAGGAGGAACTGGGAAGCTAGTCAGCTCTGCCTTGCCCCTGCCCTCCCTGGGTACCTGCTGAAGTTCTCTGCAGATAAGAAATGACACTGCAACTTATAGTAAATATTTAATTGGTTCCATCAGCAACTCTAGCACGTTTTCCTGGTAGGGAGGCAAAATCAAGCTACGTAGGGGTTCATGAGGTATTGGGAGGGGGAGGTCACTGAGGAGATCCCCAGAGTCACTGGTCCTGTTCCACAGATCTGGTGGCCCTGGCAAATTGAGGGCTGGGTTGACAGGATGTCAGGCAGAGAAGAAGAAATGCAGGGTGATGGAAATACAGGCCTTGGCCTATAATTTTGCCTGCAGGAAGAAGGGAGCTGGCAGGAAAATGGCCAGAACTACATATTCTAGTTTCAATCTCATTATGTAAAGGGAAACCAGCTTTTCTTCAGTTGTCTAGTACTTAGATACCCCCACTCCCAGGGTCTTCTGTCATTCTGTTCTATTTCCAATCTGTATTCCAAATTCTACAGTTCAAATCCAAGTTGTGAATTCTATGTCCTGCCTTCTGGGTTTCTGTTCCATGTCTGTCTCCTGCTCCCAAATCCTCCTATTCCTATCCTTTTCTTTAGCCTCACTGGGTAGAACTGTGCATCTCCTTCCAACAGCTGAGAGTTCATGGCAGTTCCATGCTTTTCCCCAGCAGGTGGAACTTGGCTCAGACTTACTTGTCCAGCAAGTGGGTGACCTAGTAGAGACCAGGGAATTCTTGAGGGCCAGCCCTGGTCTGACTTTCTCCTTTCCCACCCCACCTGTAACCACTGGTTATCCTATCTTTTGTGCAACTAAGGTAAACCAAGGATTTCCACAGTGATGTATGGGGACAGGGGGCCTTGAGATGAGGAATCTCAAGGGGGAAATGTGAGAAGACCTAAAAGGTTGCTATTCTTCATTCAGGGAACTTAGAAACTACTTCCAGCAGAGGGAAGGAGGTGGGCAGGGAAGGCAAGAAGTGTCTGGACAGAACTGTAACTCCTCAGAACCTTGTCATATTTGTCTGAGCTGAGCTCTACCTGTCAGAGTCTTCCCAGAGCCTAGAGAAAACCAAGACAGCAGGACCAGAAGCTCCTCTGTCCCAGGCTGCCCTGAGAGAGAAGGGGAAAGAGGTAGAGGTAGCAGCAGCATCACTGAAGAGGCGAAATCTTCAAAGGAATCATAATCCGAGACTCCATGTGTCGCACCAAGGGGACTATGGAGAGAGAGAGAGAGAGAGAGAGACAGTTGTCACTTGGGGATGAGGCAAGCATCACACACACAGGCGGCTTCTTTTTTTTTTTTTTTTTTTTTTTTGAGACAGGGTCTTGCTCTGTAATTCAGGCTGACCTTGAACTCACTATGTAGCACTGGCTGGCCTAACACTTGCAGCAGTCTTCCTATCTCGGCCTCCCAAGTGCTGGGATTACAGGTGTGCACCATCATGCCCAGCGTGGTTTTTGTGTTTTTTTGTTTTTTTGTTTTTGACACAGGCTTCTAAAAAGCAGCACCAGATGCTAAGACAAGAAAGCCTCGTGCCCTTCTAGAAGGACCCATGGAGAGTACTAGGTCATCCAAATTACAGGACAAGACAGGACTTGGTGGTGGAGATGAACACTCTTTTAAAAAAATTGCATCTTTTCCTATGGAAAAATAAATGGTATAGGGCTGGGGATGTAGCTCAATGGAATAGTGCTTGCCTAGTATGTGAGGCCCTGTGTTCTATCCCTAGCACCACAAAAACAAAACAAAATAATGGCAAAGTAAAAAAATTATTTCTCAAGCTGGGGATATAGCTCAGTGGCACAGCACCTGTCTGGCAAGCGCAAGGTCCTGAGTTCCATTCCCCGCACAAAAAAAACAAAACAAAACAAAACAAAAAAACACCTTAAAAAACTAAATAAAAATTAAAAATTAGGGCCAGGGATTTAGCTCAGTGGTACAGCACCTGCCTAGCAAGTGCCAGGTCCTGAGTTTGATTTTCAGTACCCAAAAAAATGGAAAAATAAAATTATTTCTCAGATACTGTTAAGGACAAATTAGGGTGATATAAAGAAAATAACTGCAAGGCTGGGGATGTAGCTCAGTGGTAAGGTATATAATTATTATCATGGGCAAGGTCCATGAATTGCTGAGTTCAATCCTCAGCACCAGAGGGAGGCAGGAGAGAAAAAAAAGAGAAAAAGGAGAGAATTATAGTCACAGTACCATAGTATCCTAGCACTTAGACAAAAGTTGTATGGAGTTCTCAAGTGACTGAGGTTTGAAAAACAATGAATTAGTTCAACTGTCTCACTTTACAGATGGAGAAGTTGCAGCCCAGAGAGGGTCAGCTCAAGGTCACCCAGAAAGTTAGACTCTCTTGCTGCTCACACCTTAATATGCATACAGATCACCCACAGTTCCTGTTAAAATGCAGATTCTTGCTGGCTGTGGCAGCACACAGGTGTAACCCCATCCTTGGGAGGCTAAGGCAGGAAGATTGCTGTAAGTTTGAGGCCAGCTTGAGCTATGTAAATGAGTTCAAGGCCAGCCTTCACTACATAGCGAGACCCTTTCTCAAATCCCCCTGCAAAAAAGTGTAGATCCTGATGTAGTAGGTTGCTGGGGGAGCTGATGGGCATTTCCAGTGAGTGCCCAAGGGATGTGGATACTGTCGTTGAGTACATAATGAACAGCAAGGCTCATACCACCTTCTTCAGGAGACACATTTTCCCTCACACCAGCTGGAAGTGTGCCAGCTCCTCAAAAGCTCAAAGGCAAGGACAGGCTTTTATTTATAGATGTTTAGCTGCCCACTCACCACCATAGGTGCCTACTGACTCCAGGTTCTAGCAAAGTGGCCAGTATTTTGACTAAAAAAAATTGCTGCATGCTTCTCTGCCAGAGTGAGGGCAAAGCACTTGTCATAAATTAGTTCATAAGTTCGCCCCGATGCCCCTGAGGGAGGCAGTATCAAGAACACCAGTTTACGGAGGAGGAGGCAGTCTCAGCACTGCAGAACCGACCCCAAGGTGGCAGTGGGCATTCCGCTACTCTGCCGCTCCCACACTGGGGCCACCTGGCTGTATTACGGTCCCACAGAACACTCATTTAGGGCTGTCTACCATGTGGAGTAAGCCAACAGAATAGAAAACCACTAACTTCACTGTCTTAAAGTGAGTGCCCAGCGGGGCTCCATGGCACATGCCTGTAATCCAGGCACTCTCAAGCCCACCCTGGGCAACAGCAAGACCCTGTCTCAGAACCGTTTTTTTTTTCTTTGAGACAGGATCTTGCTGTGTAGCTCAGGCTGGCCTCAAATTTTCAGCAATCTTCCTGCCTCAGCCTCCTGAGTACTGAGATTACAGGCATTCATCGTCACACCTGGGTACTTTTTTTTTTTTTAGTACTGGGAATCAGACTCTTGACCTGGCACTTGCCAGGTAGGTGCTGTGCCACTAAGCTATGTCCCTAGCCCAGGGGTATAATTTTTTTTTAAATTTTAAAGGGGCTAAGGATGTAGCTCAGTGCAAATGCCCTGAGTACAATCTCCAGTGCCCCCCACCCAGGGTTCCCATCTCCTCAGACAGGGCTCCCAGCGGACGACCTCCCAAGGCCCCACTGAGAGCAAGAGGAGGTGCTCACCTGTGTAGTAGACGTTTTCATCCCAGCCCCTCTTCCTCCAGGCAGCGTTTCGAGTCTCCTCCCGGGACTGCAGGTCTTTGTAGGCTGTGGGGAAGGCAGAGGCCCACTCCTCAGGCACAGAGGATCTGATCCCTTCCCACTGCCCCAAACCCTGCCCTCCTATCCCTTCCTCCCTCGGGCTATCACAGGCATGGGCTCTGTTTCAATTTCATCCCGTCAGTGAAAAGATTAACTTCAGATAATTACAAATAATATTTAATAATGTTAGAAAAGAAACAGACCAAAAAAAAAAAAGACATGATAGAGAAACATGGTGACAGAGAAAACAAAGCCTCTCTGAAAGGGTAAAATATGAACTCAGATGAGGAGGATGAGCCAGCTGTGAACTGTTGGGGGAACAGCACAAACAAAGGCCCTGTGGTAGGGAAAGGCCTTCAAAGTTTTGAGGAGTACACATGTTCACAACCCCTAAACTTGTATTTCCAGCCCCAAACTGTCCTGCCAACTCGAGCGTGTGTGCAGTGCCCACATGACATCTCCATTTGAGTGTGTCAGCATCTTAAATGTCACATTTCACAGAGCCAAAACGAAACTCCTGACCTCTCTGGCCTGCTCCTTCCCTAGACCTCTCAGTCTTGATAAAGGATACACAGCTGCTCGGAGAGGAGCCCCGGAGCAGCTGTGGAATCTCGCACCCAACACCCTTCCCCAGTAATTCTTCCTCAAGTCCCATTGGTCGGCCTCAACTCCGTAACTCTGGACTCCTCTCCATTCCACCACCACTACCCGAGTCCAGGCCCCATCCCTGCCTGCCTGAACTAGTGTTAGCATCTCTGGATCCTTGCTCCTCTACCAGGCACTCTCAGTAAAGCACACAGCAGCCAGAGGAGCCATGTAAGAACACTGTGGCAGCCTCGAATTACGTTTAAAATAAATCCCAACTCGTCCCCATGGCTTGTAAGGCTGGTTTATATGTGTCTGCCCCTTTCTCCTATCCCATCTCCCACTCTCCTCGACTCACTCCACACTGGCCTTCTTTCCACCCTTCAAAACCTTAAAGGCCGCTGGGCATGGTGGTGCATGCCTGTGATCCCAGCACTCTGGAAGCTGACACAGGAGGATTGCCAGGAGTTACAGGCCGCCCTTATTTACATAGTAGTTCAAGGCCAGCCTGAACTACATAGTGAGAGCCTGTCTCAAAACACAAAATGAAATGGCCTTTCTCACTTGCCGGGCCTTTGCCCAGCACTTCGTAGCTTCACAGCTGGCTCCTCATCTTTTAGCTCTGAACTTACATATTACCTCTTATGGGGGTCTCTTTTGTCTGCCCAAGCCAAAGTGAGCCCTCCTGTTTTTTGTATCACCTCTACCTGCCTTTTCTTCTACAGGTATTACTATTTGTAAACATCTGAGATTAACCTTTTATTAGTTTACATGTGAGGTAGCCTCTCCCGCTACGAGAGTGTAATTTCTGTGCATGCACTAATGAGTGTATCCCCATTGTTTACAAGTGGCAGTGGGGAAAGGGAACAAACAGAAGGCTCCTGGAAAGTCCCTGACCTACCCCAGAGATGGTGTACAACGTAGAGCTCTCCTATCTGTGAGAAGAAGCCGCCCACTGCTTCCTGGTTCTCCTGTCGGTACTTGATGGCCCGAGCCCTGGAGGTGGCAGAGTGTGGGAAAGAGGCCAGGCCAGTGCAAAAGGACTCCCAAGGTGGCACTAGGCTGATTCCTTGGCCACCTGAAGGACCTGAGATAGGGCCCATGGCTCTCTGAGATGCTTGGGTAACAATGGAGGTGCAACCGCTGGCTGATTTTCTACCGAAGGAGGCCTCACTTCCTCTAGGAGACCTACATCTCATGGTCAGATCCTGTTTCAGTTCCATGAGTAGCAGAGGATGCTGGGTTCCCTGTGACATGGCCCTGGGCAAGTGGCCCACCACGGGCCTCACTGGGGCAGGACAGTAGGGTTCCCCATTCCCGCAGCCCCAGTGCCACCACTCACCAGTTGTTCCCCCATTCGATCATGGTTCCTGGCTGAAAGAGAACCAGAGGGAGGAGAGGGATGAGCCCCACCTTGGAGTCCCAGCATCACAACAGGTCAGGGATGGAAACCGTGCTGTCAGTCCAGCTCCAGGGCCCTCATCCACAGGCCCTGTCTCATCCTGCTACCCAGGTGCACACAGGAACATAGACTTCCGCTCTAAACCCATGGGGACAAGGTGGCCAGAGCCGCAGTCCAGGCACTGGGACACAGGGCCCACCTCCCTCAGGCACCTGCAAAGCAGCACCGTAGCAGGGACGGTGGGAGGCAGAGGGGCTGTGGTGGGAGGGAAGCACCTTGAGTTTGTATGTCCTCAGCTCATAGATGTTGGGGCCTGCTCTAGGCTGTGGCTCATTCCAGAAGCTGAATTCTAGGAGCAGCTGGTTTCTCCTGGACAGCAGCATAGTGCTCCGCTCCTTTCGGAATTCCAGGTACTCCTGTGGGCACGGGGGTATGGGCACAGCAGCCAGAAGAGCCTTCCACCCCAGCCATGTGCCCCATGGGTAGTGTGGCTGGGCTGAAACCAATAGTCAGAAAGGGTCACCAGTAGGATACTGACGTACCTTGTTGTTTTTGAGCTTGTTCATGCAGTCCATGAGGGCTGGGTAGCCGCCTGAGAAGCGCCACAGATGCACTGTTGGAGGGGGTGGAGTGCAGGTCAGGGATCCATTGGGCCCCACCTGGTTTATCCCAAGTATGTGTGTGTGTGTGAGTGGGGGGGGTCCCCTTGCCGTAATCCTTATCACATCAGGACTCTCTGAGTTACCCTTGGCTTTGGTGCAAGGCAGTGCTGGGTGAGAATGACCTAAGACACCAGTCCAAGAGACCTGAGTTTGAGCACCAGCTCTGCCAGGTGGCCTCTGACCCCTCTAGGACTGAAGTCCTCATCC